GGTTTTGTTTTGAAAACCTGAGTGGCGAGCACACACCCCACTGGTTACTGAAGTTACTCCTGGGTGAAGCTGCCCAGAAGAGGAGGAGCTGAACAGAACCTCTCAGTTATTGTTTGGCTTCAGCTTCCTGAAGGGGTTACAAGAGCCCCTTCTGGGGAAGTCAGTGGGTGAGGTCACATGGGAGTCCAGGGAACTAAACACGTGGCTCCCCTCAGTCAGTGCACCGGCGGGGCTGTTGTGTGGACCAGAATGAGTTGTCTGATAACAATATGGGTTGACGGAATGGGCCCATTTATCTTCTTCTAATCTCCCCATAATCCCTTTTGCCCCCCAAGAGTAGGTGACAGCAGATCACTTCTGTGGGGTGGAATGCCTGTCCGCTCCGGAGCTGGGCTGCTGCTGTGCTTGGAGGGAGGGCTTGCAGGAGCTTTGGCAGCACGTGGTCAAGGTTAGCTAAGTACAGGTACTGTGAGTCAGGCTCACCTGGGCATTCTGTCCTCGGGTTAACAGACGACAGGTGGTGTTGTTTTCTCCTTAGCGAAGAGCAGATACTAAAGGATGAATGTCATGGAGTGGGTGACCTAAGACAAGGGAATATACACTTTATTTTTTCTTTCACCCTTTCTTGTTTATTCTGTATTATCCACATTCCCATCCCTCCCCAAGCCCTGCCATATAGGTATGTCTTTGAATGGGTTTAGTCCACAAATATTTATTGAGCATCTACTAATTATTACTATGCACTGTTCTTGGAACTGGGGATACAACAGTGAACAAAACAAAAGGCCCTGCTTTGTGGAGCTTACAGTCTACTGGGGAGAGACAGACACTAATCACAATAAATAAATATGAAATATTTCAGGTGGTGATCGGTGTTTTGTAGAAAAACGTAAGACAAAAAAGTAAGATAAGGGGATAGACAGTGCTGGTGAATGAGACCAATTTAGATATGCTGGTCAGGGAATGCTTCTCTAAGGAGGTGACATTTGAGAATATTGGATGTGGGTGGGCAAGTCATCAGATTATCTGGGTAGAAGAGTGTTCCCGGCAGTGAGAACAAGTACAAAGCCAATGAAGAGGGCGGGTACTTGTCAGTTTGAGTAACAGCAAGTAGGCCAGTGTGGCTGGAGAAGAGTGAGTGATGGAGAGAATGACAGGAAATGAAGTCAGAGAGAGGTTGAGGTCCAGAATGTGTAGAGATTTTTGGGACATGGTGAGGGCTATGGCTTTTATTCTGAGGAGCTGGGAGCCATGGGAGAGTTTTGAGCAGAGGAGGGACATCATCTGGTAGGGATTTTTAAAAAGAATTTCAGATAAGAATTAGTAATAGGTATTACAACACTAGGCAAAGAAAAAAACAGACAACTACTAAGAAAACAAAAAGGTATGCAACAAAGGATATATAATCAGAGTATACTCTGTGGTTTAGATATGAACAATATTTACAATGTCATACTTATGCAAACAGTGATCATTGGTTGAACAAAAATTGTATAAAATCTTTAAAGAAACAGGAGATGCAACCACAAAGATGAGCAAGCAACAAGAGATTATGAGGGTTGAATTAGAAAGTGAAATATATGGAGCTTATACAAATGAAAAATGCAATTATTGAAACAAAAAACTCAGTGGACAGATGAAACAACAGATCAGACACAGCTGAAGAGTTAATTGGTAAAAATCTGGAGAAATTGCCCAGAATGAAGTGCAGGAAGACAAGGAGACAGAAAACATAAAAAAGATGTTGAGATATGGAAGATATAATGAAGAGGTAAAAAATATGACTAACTGGATTCTGAGAAAGAAAATATATAAATAATAGGAGAGGGTAGCATTTGAAGAAATAATGGCTGAGAATTTTCTAGAAATTATGAAAAAAAAATCCAGAGGCATAAAGCAAGTGCATTTCTAAAGTAGAATAAATGAAAAAGAAATACATGCCTAAACATTTTAGAATGATACTGAAGAGCCCCCGTACATCTCCCTCAGAGAGAGAGAGAGAGAGAGAGAGAGAGAGAGAGAGACAGACAGAGACAGAGACAGAGAGAGAGATCTTAAAGGTAGCCAGAATATAAGAAAACAAAAACACCTACAAAAACAGCAATTTAGACTGGTAGCAGACTTCTAAATACCTATAGCACTGTCATGTAAGATGAGGATAAAATTACATTTACATATAACAAAGACTGGGACAAGTTAACACCAAGAGACCTGTACTAAAAGAGCATCTAAACACTGTATTCATAATGAAAGAAAATGATCCCAGAATGATGGTCTGAGATGCAAGAATGTATGCATGAAAATCCAAACACTATGCATATAAAATTATACTAATGATAATGTAGAATTTATGAGGTTAGAAAAAAGGAACAAACTCAACACAACAGCATGTGGTCAAGAAAGAAATGCCTACAGTTGAAAGTTCCTGTGTTCTTGAAGATGGAGGTTAAAATACTGTTTAACTTTTGACCTTATAAATTAAACATGCGTGGTAAAATGTCAAGGATAAGCGCAAAAAGAATAGAAAAAATGTAAATTCCAAACAGTAGGGAGGAAAATATTGCATAAGAAAGCAAATACTACAAATCTTAAAGCTGAAAAAGCAAGCGAAAGAAAGAAAGAAAGAAAGAAAGAAAGAAAGAAAGAAAGAAAGAAAGGAAGAAAATGAAGCATAGAAAAGATGTTGTAGGAAATAGAAATAAAAAAGTATAATGGTAGAAACAAGCCCAAATATATCACAATAAATGTAAACAGATTAAACTTGCCTGTTAAAAAACAGAGATCACCAGATTACCTTTTTTTTAAAAAAAAGGTCCAGCTATATGCCATTCCCAAGAGGTATAATTGAAGCATAAGAGCATGAAAATGTTGTAAAGTAAAAGGTTGGAAAATTATATGCCACATAAATCCTACCAAGAAGAAAAGCTTGTGTTGTTATATTAATATAAGGTAAAATAGACTTCAAGGAAAAATGCATTATCAAGAATAGAGAGGGTCATTACATATTTATCAGGAATATATAACAATTCTTATTTTGAATAGTCCTAATAAAATATTCTCAAAATATATAAAATTTTTAAAAAGAACTACAAGAGAAATAGACAAATCCACCATCATAGTTGACTATTAATACACCTCTTACAATTACTGCTATATAGTGACACCAAAAAATCAGTATAGATATAGAAAATTTGAACAATACAACTAACAAGCTTGATAATAGACATATGTAGAACTCTGTAATCAACAATTAGAGAACATACATTCTTATAAAGCACACAGGAAACATTAAAAAATATTGATCACGTACTAAGCCATAATCAAGTCTCAATAAAATTCAGAATTGTTATCACACAGGCAACATCCTCTGACCATAATGCAATTAAGATAAATTTCAATAACAAAGAGATAAAATTAAAAATCACCAAACATTGAGAAATTTAAAAACACACTTCTATATAACTCACAGGTCAAAGAAGTAACCATGATGAAAATGTTAAAGTACTCGGAACAAAACAATAATGAAATAGGACATGTCTGAACTTATAAAAAAACAGTATTTAGAGGGCAATTTATATCCTTAAATGCACAAATCAAAAAACAAGGAAGGCTGAAGATTAATGAGCTCAGTATTCAATATAAGAAATTAGAAAAAGAACAACAGAATAAATCCAAAAAATGTGGAAGGAAGGAGATCAAAAAAGATAAGAGCAGAAATTAAAGAAATAGAAAACAAAGACATAATAGAGAGAAGCAACAAAGCCAAAAGTTGGTTCTTCGAAAAGACTAATAAAATAGACAAACCTCTGGAGAGATTGATCATGAAAAAAAGTGAGAAGGCACAAAAAACCAATAACAGCAATGAAAAAGGAGACATAACTACAGATTATGTACAGCAGAGAATAAAAAATAAGGGAAGTTGATGCCAATAAATTTGAGAATGCAGGAAAAATAGACCAATTCCTAGAAAACTTTAACGTACCAAAACTGACTCAAGAAGAAAAAGAAATCCTGAATAGTCCTCTATTAAAGGAATTGAAGCAGTAGTTAAAACTCTTTCCACCAAAAATAAATGAACGAATGAATAAATAAATAAACAAACAAACAAACAAATAGTAGAAGGCAGAATTTTCTAGTTGATATGTAGATTACAGGTAAGTAAAGAGATACTGATTCCCTCAGCCCTAATGGTGTCCATGTAGAACCTAAGGCAGTGGTGACCCTAGGCAGGCTGCCTTTCTCTATGGGCAGCCTCCTGTGGAGATCCTTATAGGGTGACCCTTAGTGAAATGTGGTCTGACAAATCCCTCTCCCGTACCTGCAGGAGGTGAGCACGAATGAGTAACATCCAGCACTCAGTTACTGCTCTGTGGTTAAGTGTGTTAAGCAGAGCCGAGCTCAATCACATGGACAGCCTCTTCAGTAGACAGTTTCTGTAGTCTTCTGCTCACTGAGGACAAGGGATCTGTGGAGCTGCTGGAGGAGTCTGTGTTCCAGTTGCCAAGAAACACCATACACAGCCAAGGTGTGACTAGTTGGGGTGGGGTTAGGTGCAGGAAGGCCAAGCAGGGGCTTCTAGAGAGTGTAGCTCCTGGTAGAAGCCCTGAAACTCTGTCTTCATGAATATCAGATACTTTTATTCATTTGAAGCTGATGAGCCCTTTTAATGGTGTCCAAGCTAGCTGCGGGGCTAACAATGATGGATGTTCTGCAAATAAGAGCTTCATCGTTATTTTGAAATAATTTATATGAAAGAGTTCAATTGTTTTGAAATCTAATCACATTATCACAAGAAATTTTAACAATATATTCTTTAATAAAACAGAAAGAAAAGCTGTCAGATACCATTTCAGTTGTTGAACATTTTTGAAGACTTTAAAAATTGGTTTTAAATACTTTATCAGCTACTTGTACATAAATTTTTCTTGATCACGACTACTGAAAATTTGAAAGAACACATCATTAAAAAGTCTTGATCAGAATTTGGGTGTATCCATTTCAAGCATAAACCTAATATAAAAATAAACATGTTATTCAAGCAGTTTTCCAATTTCTCAGTTAAAAATCTGAAAAGACTCCCAGTCAAGGCACATACTTGGGTTGTGGGTTCAATCCCGTGTGGGGGGCGACTGATCAATGTTTCTCTAGAACATCAATTTTTTTTCCCTCTCTCTCCCTTTCCTTTCTCTAAACATGTCCTTAGGTGAGATTAAAAAAATAAATAAATAATGAAAACAAGAACTTTAAAAAAGTTGGCAGAGAACTCAGGGTCCACATACAGGGTGGGGAAAAAGTAGGTTTAGAATTTTAAGTACATAAAAGTTTATTTGTGTATTATTACATTATTTTCCATATGAACAACTGTGACCTGCTCTTGCCACACCCTGTAATACAGGGAATACAGAATTCACTAGTAAAGGGCAACAAGAAAAATAACAACAACCACACATGCACAACCCAGAACAACAACAAACTTTGAGGGTAGAAGAGTCTGATACCAGAGTTGTCAGAGTATCTAAAATGACCAGCTTTTTACAAAAAAAACACCCCAACAACTGTGAGACATGCAAAGAAACAGTAAATTATGTTACATATATGGGGGAAATAGCAGCCAAAAGAACATGTCCCCAAGGGGGCTAATATTTGGGACTTAATAGACAAAGACTTTAAATTAACTATTATAAACATTTTCAAAGAACTAAAGGAACCCATATCTATAGAATTAAAGGAAAGTATGAGAACAATGTCTTATAAAATAGAGAATGTCAATAGAGATAAAAATCATAAAGAAGAATCAAATAGAAAATCTGGAGTGAAAAGTATTACAAATGGAATGAAAAATACATTTTGAGGGGTTCAACAACAGATATGAGCTGGCAGAAGAGAAGGATGAAGTTGATGATAGGTAAATAGAGATTATCCATTATGAAAAGCAGAAAGAAAAAAGAATGAAGAGAAAGAAACAGCCTCACAGACCTGTGAGACTACATCAGTGTACTAACATAAGTATAACAGAAATCTCAGAAGGACAAGAGGAAGACAAAGGGGTTAAAACATCACAAATTTGATGTAAAATATTAATCTATACATTCAACAACCTCAAGTAGAATAAACTCAAAGAGATCCATACCTAGATACGTAGTAAAACTGGTCAAAATCAAAGACAAAAAGAAAATCTCAAATGCAGCAACAGGAAAATGACTTATTGTGCATAGGGATTCTCAATAACATTAGTAGCTGATTTCTCATCAGAAACCAGAGGACAGAAGACTGTGTCACAGCACCTTCAAAATGTTGAAAGAAAAAGACTGTCAAAGGAGAATTCCCCATCTAACTAAACTGTCCTTCAAAGATGAAAGAGAAGTTAAGATAAACAAAACTGAATTCATTGCTAGCTTCAGGCTGAAATTAGAGGACACTAGATGGTAACTTGAAGGTACCTACATGGGTATGAAAAAAATAATTTTTGTAACACTTTATTTTCCTATCTGTTATAAAAGATTGCATAAAGCAATAATAATAAAATTTGGTGATGGGCTTATCCTATATAATAAAAAGGCTAATATGCAAATCGGCAGAATGGAGGAATGACTGGTCGATATGAAGTGCACTGACCACCAGAGGGCAGATGCTCAATGCAGGAGCTTATCCCTGGTGGTCAGTGCACTCCCACAGGGGAAGCACTGCTCAGCCAGAAGCTGGGCTCATAGCTGATGAGCACAGTGGTGGCGGCGGGAGCCTCTCCTGCCTCAACGGCAGCACAGAGGAACAGTGAGCCCAGCGTAAGGAACAGCGAGCAGGTGGGTGGTAAGGGGCAAGGGGTCCTGGACTACAAGAGGGATGTCCAACTGCCAGCTTAGGCCCGCTCCCCTGGAGAGCAGGCCTAAACCATCAGTCAGACATTCCCCAAGGGCTCTGGACTACAAGAGGACCAGACTGAGGGACCCTCCCAAGTGCATGAATTTCATGCACCAGGCCTCTAGTAATGTATAAAAAAGTAATTTGCATGATAATACTACAAAGGAGGGGAGAGGAAACAGGTATACTGGAGCAAAGGTTTTTATACACTATTGAAAGTAAGTTAGAATTAATCCAAAGTGGAATGTTTCAAATTAAGATGTTAATTGTAATCCCCAGAGTAACCACTAAGAAATTAACTCAAAAAATATATACTTGATAAGGAAATTAAAAAGTTAAAGTAGAAAATATCTACTTACCACAAAAGAAGAGAGGAATTAAAGAACAACGGAACCGAAGACATAAGATGTACGCAAAGCAAATATCAATCCTTCACAAACTCATCCAAAAAACAGAAAACACTTCCCAATTCATTTTATGCAGCCAGTATTACACTAACACCAAAACCAAAGACATCACAAGAAAACTACAGACCAATATCCCTTATGAATATACGGTAGATGTAAAAATCCTCAGGAAAATACTAACAAACCAAGTCCAGCACCATAGAAAAAGTATTTTATAACATGATGAATTAGGATCTATTTCAGAAATGCAAGGTTAGCTTATCATCTGAAAAGTAATCAATATAATACACCATATTAATAGAATAAAGCATAAACTCCACACGATCATCTCAATAGATGCAGAAAAGGCATTTGACAAAGCCCATTCATGGCAAAAGCACTCAGAGAACTAGGAGTAGAAGGGAACTTCTTCAACTTGGTAAAAGGTAAAACCCTCAGCTAACATCATACTTGATAGAGAAAGACTCAATACTTTACCCCTAAGATCAGGAACAAGATAAGGATACTTGCTGTCATTACTTCCAGTCAGCACTGTACTAGAAAGTCTAGCCAGGGCTATTAATCAAGAAAAAAAAAAACATCCACATTCTGACCAGGTAGCTCAGTTAGTTATAGCATCATCCAATCCCCAGTGTGGGGTGTACAGAAGAAAGCCAACCAATGATTCTCTCACACCATTGATGTTTCTGTCTCTCCCTCCCCCTTCTCCTCTGAAATCAATAAAAATATATTACAAAAATAAAATCAATCAATAAAAATTTTTTTAAAGCATCCAGATTGGAAAGAAAATGTAAAACTATATTTGTAGATCACATGATCTAATATACAGTAAATCCTCAGGAATCTACTAAAAAACTATTTGAACTAATAAACAAGTTCAGCAATGTGGCAGGATAGATCAATAAATAAAAATCAATTGTATTTCTACACACTAGCAATGAATAATCAGCAAGTGAAATTAAGAAAATAATCCCATTTATAATAGCAGAAAAAATAAAATACTTAGGCATAAATTTTACAAAAGTGAAAAACTTATATACTGAAAACACTTCCAAAAGAAATTAAAGACAATCTAAATGAAAAGACTTCTCATGTTCACAAACAGGAAGACACAATACTGTTAAATGGCAATAATTCCTAATTGATATATAGATTCAACACAATCCCTATAAAAATTCTAGCTGATTTTCTGCAGAAACATGGCAAACTGATCCTAAAATCCATATAGAAATGCAAGGGACTTAGAAGAGCCAAAACAATCTTGAAAAAGAACAAAGGTTGAAGATTTCAATGCCTGTTTTCAAAACTTACTATATGCAACTATAGTAATTAACACAGTGTAGTCTGGCATAATGACAGACATAGATCAATAGATTAGAATTCAGAGTCCAGAAATGAACCTTTAAATTTATTATTTATGGTCAATTGATTTTTCACAAGGTTGCCAAGACAATTCAAGGGGGAGGACAGAATACTCTTTTCAACAAAAGGTACTGGGACAACTAGATATTCACATGCAGAAGAATAAAATTTGGACCCCTACCTCACCACACACAAAAATTAACTCAAAATGGGTCATCAACCTAAATGCAAGAGCTAAAAATCATATAATTCCTGGAAGAAAGCACAGGAATAAATCTTTGTGACCTTGGGTTATTGACTGGCTCCTTAGATATGACATGAAAAAGTCAAGTGACAAAAGAAAAATAGATATGGCCTGGCCGGAGTGGCTCAGTTGGTTGAGCATAGTCCTGTGCACCAAAAGGTTGCCGGTTCAATTCCTGGTCAGGGCGTTGCGGGTTTGATCCCCAGTTGAGGAGCGTAGGGAAGGCAACTGATTGATGTTTCTAACATCGAGGTTTTGCTCTTTCTCTTCCTCTCTCTAATCATTTTCTCGGGTAAGGATTAAAAAAGAAAGAAAAAATATATATAAATTGACTTCAAAATTTAAAACTTTTATGCATCAAAGAACTCCATCAAGAAGGTGAAAAGTCAACCCAGAGAAAGAGAAAAGATTTGCATTTTATATATCTGATAAGGGACTTGTATCTAAAATACATAAAGAATTCTTACAACCTGTCCGGCTGGAATGGCTCAGTGGTTGAGCACCGACCTGTGAACCGGGAGGTCACGGTTCAATTCCCGGTCAGGGCACATGCCCAGGGTTGTGGGCTCTATCCCCAGTGGGGGCAGCCAATCAGTGGTTCTCTCTAATCACTGATGTTTCTATCTCTCTTTGCATTCCTCTCTGAAATCAATAAAAACATATTTTTTAAAAAAGAATTCTTACAACTCAACAATAAGACTGTCCCTTCCACTCTCTCTAAACATCAATGGGAAAAAAAATATCGTCAGGTGAGGATTTTTTTTTAAATATATTCCATTGATTTTCCACAGAGAGGAAGGGAGAGGGACAAAGAGTCAGAAACATCAATGAGAGAGAAACATCGACCAGCTGCCTCCTGCACACCTCCCATTGGGGATGTGCCCGCAACCAAGGCACATGCCCTCAACAGGAATTGAACCTGGGACTCTTCAGTCCGCAGGCCGATGCTCTATCCACTGAGCCAAATTGGTCTGGCCTCAGGTGAGGATTTAAAAAGTAGTTTAAGGAGGAGGAAAAGAAAATGTCTGGGAAGGGCAGTTAGAGTGAGGACGCCTACCCCCACCTCCTGACCTCCTGGTAAGAGGGCTATGCAGGAGCTGCTGGAGGAGCAAAGAGCTCAGGGGAAAGCCAGATTTCTATTCAAGCAGTGGTTCTCAGTGGCAGGGGTCTGGACAACCAAAGGGCATTTTTTATTGTCACGATAGTTGGAGATCACTGGTGACATTTAGTGGGCATGGACCAGGGATGCTCAGCTGCACAAAATAGCTCCACACAGCAAAGAATTGAACCACATTCCATACAACTTTAGAATGTCCCACCAGACAACCATGTAGGTAAAAAGCCTGGTTATTCATTCATTTACTTAGTCATTCAACATTTACTAAGGGAGCCTATTACGTGCCAGGTAATAGGGATGCATCAGGGTGCGTGCGCGCGCGCACACACACACGTCTGCCCTTCTATTTTTTCAAATATATTTTATTGATTTTTTACAGAGAGGAAGGGAGAGAGATAGTTAGAAATATTGATAAGAGAGAAACATCGATCAGCTGCCCCTGCACACCTCCTATTAGGGATGTGCCCGCAACCAAGGTACATGACCTTGACCGGAATCGAACCTGGGACCTTTCAGTCCGCAGGCCAATGCTCTATCCACTGAACCAAACCGGTCAGGCAATGTCTGCCCTTCTAGAGCTTACAATTGAGTGGGAGAGTCAGACATAAAAAAAAATGTGAATTTTATATTCTGTAAGAGGGTGAGGGACACTATGAGAAAAATAGATCAGGGTATGTGCTAGTAGAGAGCTGCAATTCTAAAAAGGATGGTCAGGCCCGGCCGATGTGACTCAGGGGTTGAGTGTCGACCCATGAATGAAGACGTCTCGGTTCGATTCCCTGTCAGAGTACATGCCCGGGTTGCAGGCTTGATCCCCAGTATGGGGCATACAGGTGTCAGCCGATTGATGTTTTTCTCTCATTGATATTTCTCTCTCTCTCTCCCTAAAATCAATAAAAAGCATATTTTTAAAAAAGATAAAAAGGATGGTCAGGGTAGGCCTCATTGAGAAAGTGACATCTGAATAGAGACCTGAAGGAAGTGAGGGCATGAGTCGTGTGCAAGAAAAGCATTCTAGGTACAGGTGATGGCCCAGTACAAACCCCTGAGGTGGAAGTGTGCCTAATATGTTCAAGTAGCGTAAAGAAGGCAAGGATGGGTGGCATAGAGAGAGCAAGTGGGGAGAGTGGTAGGATATAAGCCCAGAGAGGTTATGAAGGCCACATCATAGATTCTAATATACTAGTATACTGACTGTTCCAGAAATTCTACAACTACATAAATTGAGGGAAGACTGCACTATGTTTTGTTTAGAACTTTATGAAGAATTGCTCATCATCTAGGAAAACTGCATCATCCTACCTGTGGTTTCTGAGTCATCAATCAACACACATGTATGTAGCTGTCACATTCCCAGGTTTAAGTATCATTATATGCAAGACCATTTCATTATGACTTCTAATAGAATTACATTCCAGGCTTTACTTATTAAAATACATATTGTTTTATTATAAATTGCTCTTCCTTTACTTCTCATTTATATTACAATTAGGACATTATATTGTTTTGGGGGGATTATGTGTGTAGACAGATTCTATTATCTATGCACTTCATTTCAGAATAGTGAAGAGACATTTCAAAATATACACTGTAAAAATGGAGTGTTGGGTCCAACAGGTATGAGAACCTCTAAGGAATGGAAAGAAAACTAAGACTATTCAGAAGCCAGGGTGAGAATGGAGGAGATTTTGCTGATAATTGAAAGTGAGTTCCAGAAGGCCTGGTCAAAGGATTTCAGGGTGGGGGCAGAAGGACTGTATGGGGATGTAACTAGGAGACCCTTGGTCTTCTTGTGTTGACTAACATAAAGGGCCTGATCCACTTTTTTCATTTAAGTTGCTCCTCACCCTAGGGGTCTCTACCTGATTAACACAGGAGGCTGGGGAACAAAGAGGATCTCTCTTCAATGAAGCCAGAAGCAGCCCAAGTCCAGGCTCCTTTTTTCCCCCCACAGAACAGTAGAGCCCTTGGCTAAGTTCACAGTTGCCCGTAGGCCAACCTCATTGCTATAAACAATGCACCTTTAAGCTATTTAAGGATGGAAAAGAGACAGGTAGAAAGAGGAAACACAATAACAGAGAATGAGAACCAATGAGGGTAGGCTCAGAGACAGACAGGGGGTAAGCAAAGCCAAAGACCAAGAGAGAGAATATTCTTCTCAATCACGACCGTCATTTATTGAATATTTTCTAGGGGCTGGGTATTGGGCAAAGGGATGCACAAGTATTGTCTCAGGTGGAGATGATTAGACTTCCATTTGACAGATGAGGAAAACTGAGGCCCACATCCATGAAGTAGATGGCTCAAGGTCTCATGGCTAGTTTTAACAGGATTCAGCCTTCTAGGTCTGGGTTGTTTAGTATGTCTCAGAGAGGGAGACAGAAAGATAGAGACAAACAGAAAGATGGAGATAGAGACAGACTGCCAGAGGGAAAGGCAGGGCAGAAAGAGAGGAGACTTACAGACACGCACGCAGACGATCATGTGAGCTGCAGACCTGCACAGAACGGTTTTCCAAGAGATTTGGGGGGAGGGGGCGGGAAGGCGGGCACGGGCAGTGGGCTACGCAGGGTACTCACCTAGTCGCAGTATGAGGTCGCAGGGGCCCTCGCCCTCCCTTTGCTACCTGCGGGATCCTCCGCAACCCGCTGACCTAGGGTTGAGAGGCCGCCCAGGTAAAAGCTCACCCAGGCCCCACCCCTCACGCGCTCCCGCCCGGCCTCTTTCCCCCACGCCCCCCTCCCACCCCGGTCGTTACAGCCTCTCACCGGACAACCTCCGCCGTACAAGCCACGTGTGAGCAGATTCCAAGATCCCAGGAACCGAGAGCTGGATCTCGAGAATACCCAGGAGGTATCCCTCCCGCAGGCTGAAGCGCGAGCAGGAGCGCTAGGTCCACCGCCAGCCTCGGGCTCCCATTGGAGGAGTGCCCTCCTGTCGGCCCTGGGATTGGCTGGAGATGGAAACACTTTTTTTTACCCCCTTCCCCCCCAGGCCCGGATCCAGGAGGAAGAAAACCCCGCCCCTTCGGGGTCTTTGATTGGCTGATTAGCCAAGCCCACCCTTTAAGAGGATGAAGATGAGGACTCATCATCCTCTTTTAGCGGGTCTATTAGACCAGCTGGAAACACTCAGACTCTAAGTCCAAAGTGGGGCCTGGCGCGAGTCACCCAATGATCAGATTTCCTGACTTCTTTTTAAAAAATATATTTTTATTGATTACCGAGAGGGAGAGATAGAAACAGCAATGATGAGAGAATCATTGATCGGCTGCTCCTGCACGCCCCCTACTGGGGACCAAGCCGCAATCCCAGGCATGTGCCCTTGACTGGAATCGAACTTGGGGCTCTTCAGTCCTCAGGCTGACGCTCTATCCCCTGAGCCAAGCCAGCCTAGCTGGCTTCTTTTTTTTTTAATTTAATACATATTTTATTGATTTCAGAGAGGAAGGGAGAGGGAAATAGAAACATCAATGATGAGAGAGAATCATTGATCAGCTGCTTCCTGCACTCCCCCTACTGGGAATCTAACTGTGACCTCCTGGTTCATAGGTCGATGCTCAATCACTGAGCCACACCAGCCTGGCGATCCTGTCTTCTTGACATCTTACTCTGTAAGTCCTTTTGTATAAACCACTGCCCGGTTAAGAGACACGACACTGGCCGGAATTTCCTATAGCTCTCCCCTCACTGCAGGGATTTCCGAGCTAGGTTTCTATCGCTCAAAATGAGTGTAGCTCCTAATTTCATACATGGTGGAGGAGGGGTTATGAGGGTGTGGCTAGTTACCCACCAGCCCCTGCTACTTACTGAGACATTGGTCAAGTGATAACCTCACTTAGGAGCCTCAGTTCATCTGTGAAATGGGAAGACAGTTTTAAAAATCTCGCCTGAAAGGTGGGGGCGGGGGCGGAGCAGGTAAGAGATCAACCAAAGGACTTGTATGCATGTATATGAGTATCTCCAATGGACACAGACAGTAGGAGGGTGAGACCATGTGCTGGGGGTGGGAGTGGCCGGGAGAGGTCAAGGGAGGAAAAGGAGACATATGTAATACTTAAATAATAAAGAATTTAAAATTTTAAAAAATCTCCCCCGAACCCTGTATGCATATATGCATGGCCCATGGACACAGAAAATGGGGCGTTGAGGGCCTGGGGTGGGGGGTGGGAGCTTGTTGAAGGATGTCAATTGGGGCAAAAAAGGGGACACATGTAATACTTTCAACAATAAAGAATTATTTTAAAAATAAATAAATAAAAATCTCACCTGATACTATCATTGTGAGGATTAAATGAAAGAATATAAAGTAATTGCCCAGAATATTAATAGTTAAGGTCTCCTGTCCCAATTCTTGCTTTTCCCATTGTTTCAGACTGAGGGAACTATGGCCCAGAGAGGCAAACTGATTGGCATGATGGTACACAGCAGTAAGACCCAAAATAAAAACCAGGCTTCTGCCCTTCAAACAATAGCTGTTTAAGAAGGAAGGGGAGACAGGAAGGTTCTTAATTTGGGTTCACAGACCTCCAATTGAGTCTGGGGACAGGGTTTGGAGTGGCCCATGAATTTGTATGGGGGAAAAAATTACATCTTTATTTTTCACTCTCCTCTTATTGAAATTTAGCTCTTTTTTTTCCAGCAAAGAATGTAACTAGCCACATTAGTCACAATTACTTGTGACTGTCACCAACAGAAATCACAAAGCTTTTCATATCACATTATAGTGGTTGCAGTTCAAAATAATGTCGCAGATCTTTTGAAATATCATGCAACCTCTATTTTAAAATCATGACTGTCATTAGACCCTCTATTGGATCTTATGATTTAGTGAATTAACGAGGAGCACATATATTATTATAGCACATATTTGCTTTTGCCATATTTTAATAACTATATTTCAATATAATCACTTTCTTTTGTAACCAAAGGTATTTTATTTTATGTATTTAAAAGATAGTATTTTATGAAGTTCTATAAGCTTCACCAGACCATCAAACAGATCCGTGTATACAAAGAGTTAAGAATACTTGTCTTACACAGAGAATCTGGTGGTTGGGGGGGGGTAGGGAGGAGAGGGGGGAGTAGAGGACTAGGTTTTTGAAAAATGGGAGGGGGCATAAGAAATATAGTCAACAATATTGTAATTAACTATATATGGTGTCAGATGGATACAAGATGTATTGGAGTTGCCCTGGTCGGTGTGGCTCAGTTGGTTGGTTGGGTGTCATCCCATGTACCAAAAAGTTGCTGGTTTTATTCTGGTCAGGGCACATGCCCAGTTGTGGTTTTGATCCCTGGTGGAGGGCATGAAGGAGACAGCTGATCGATGTTTCCCTCTCACATTGAAGTTTCTCTCTCTCCCTCTCCCTTCCTCTCTCAAAATCAATTTTAAAATCTTTAAAAAAAGATTTATTGGGGTGATCACTTAGTTATATAATGTCCAATCACTGGGTTATACACCTGAAACTAATATAATATTGTATGTCAAATATAATTGAAAAAGTAAAAGAAAATTTTAAATAAAAGTAAAAAAAATTACAGTCAAGGACAAAAAAACAAACAAACCACAAAGAAAACCTTGTTTTTAAACTCTGGGCTGCAGGAGAACAAAGACTCAGTCTGTCATGTCTCCTTGTTATATCTCTATCACCTAGTTTAGTACCAGGCATACAGTAGGTGCTTAATAAATGTTTACTGGATGAATAATAGGATTCCTTCCTAACCATCCTACACACCCCCAAACGAGGGAGCCAGTGCTGGCCCTTTTGATGACCTAAAAAGGAGGGATATTCCTGAATCTAGTTTTGGTTAAATTTTGCCAATCTTTGGCTCACAGCAGTGAGTGGCATTTTAAAGTTCTGGCCCTAGGACATTCTGGGGACTTCATGCCCAGGAGCAGGGCCCTCAGCTGCAGAGGAATGGGGTGAGCTGTGAAGGACACAAAGACAATTAGCTTCAGCATGGGAACAGGCCCTGGGGTACATTGGGTCCACAACTCCTCCTTCTCCTCCTGGTTTCTGTTTAGGGCCTGTATTTTCTGGTCTTCAGCAAAGACTATACTTTGGAGTTGGATGTGGCCTTAAAGACCTTCTAGAACAGTCCATTCGTTTTGGAGGCCGAGATTGGGCAGGACCTGAAGCCATACCATACACCAAGGAGTGAGGGCACAAGGAACAACAAGATGTCACTCTAGGCAAAGAACATCCTCTCCTCCCATGCCTCAGGCCAGGGCATGAGCACCCTGGTTCAGTACATTAGAATCCCATACTTGGCTCCTAATAGTGCCCCTGAAGCCAGAGGCCCTCTCTGACAGAGTGGGTGAAGCGGAGCCTCAAATTCCAAGATGAGGGCCTACGGATTTGATTAGGAAGACAGAGAGGAATCAGGGAAGAGTATGATGAAGGCGAGGCTTCAGAGGTCTAGTTTGGGGCTGGATTCCATCTGGAGAACTTAGGCAGGTTACTTCTTCTGGGCTGATGCCTAAGCTTACAGATGGGAAAACTGAGGCTCTCTACAGAGGGCGAGGGAGTCATGTTGTGAGGTAGAGCAGATTGAGGCAAGGGTACCCAGGCCATCTGTCTCTCAGACTGGCTGGGATCTTCTTGCCAGGCTGACCTTTCCTGGCCCACTCCAGGCCTTTGCCCCTGCTGCTTTCTCCTCCCCTTCACTTCACCACCTGTTCACTGGGACTGGCTGCAGATATCGCACATAGTTGTCTCAATGGACTGTTCTAGAAGGTCTTTAAGGCCACATCCAACTCTAAAATATAGTCTTGGTCTTGACTCAGGATCCTACACTCTCAGCTCTGACTCTGAGGCAACATGTTCCCTTTTCTGGGTCAGAGTTTCCCCTCCCCACTTCTGACAGTGTAGTCCCAGGTCAGAACTAGAGGGCATCCAAGCCCCCATGCTCTTCCCAAAATATTTATCAGAATCATGGAGTATGTTCAAGATCTGGTGTTCCAACCATTTCATAGAAGAGGCCCAGAGAGGAAGGGGCCTTGCTAAAGGTTCCACAGCAACCTGGTAGTCATCCTTGACTTCTCTCAATCCTTCTCTTCCCATATCTAAAGCCTGCCAGTTTCTGCCACTCCTGGTGCTGCTTGTGTGCTCATCTGGTGTGGACCTGGTACCTCTTTTGTGAAGCTACAGCTGAGAAGACTCCAGTGCTCACCATGACTGACAAAAAGCCCAAAGAAGGAGTTAAGACTGAGAACAATGGTCATACTAATTTGAAGGTGGTGGGGTAGGATGGTTCTGTGGTTTAAGATTAAGAGACACACACACTTAGTAAACTAATAAAAGCCTATTGTGAACAACAGGGTTTGTCAATGAGGCAGATCAGATTCCAATTTGATGGGCAGCCAATGATACAGACACGCCTGCACAGTTGGAAATGGTGGATGAAGATACAACTGATGTGTTCCAGCAGCAGACAGGAGGTGTCTGCTAAAAAGGGAACCTGCTATTTACTCCAGAACTCTGTTCCTCCAGACCAAGAAGACATTCTCAGTTAGAAAACTGCAATTTGGATCCACTGCATCCTGACTATTACAGTACAGTTTTCTCTGTTCTTTCATTTTCCCCTTCCCTGCTCCTTTATTGTACATAAATTAACTGATGTATGTGTACAAGCATTTGCATGTTTTAAACTAAATGGCCAATGGTATGTTTTGATTGACATCAAATGGAAATGAGATGGGGAAAAGACTGGTTCGGTGAAAATACCCCCTTTTCTTCAGTGGAAGCTCATTCAGCTCTTATCTCCTATTTAAGTAAGTTATTTTACTTCTCACTGTTTAACAACAACAACATAAAAGTCCTTGCATACCTCGTTCAATTGGAGAATTTTAATGTTTTTCATTTATCATTGTAAACCCAAGGACAGTTTTTAT